TGACTCAAGATACAACCTAATCCTGTAGATTGTGTCCTGCCTCATTAACATCATAGAAGGTAGGATTTACAGCACATAGAAAAATTACATCAGATCACAAAATGGAGGACAACCACACAATACTGGGAATCATGACCTAGCCAAGTTGACAGATATTTTGGGGGGATACAATTCAATCCATAACATTCTACTCTTAGGCCCCTCAAAATTCATGTAGGGGCCAGATATAAAAACACATTCACCCCATCATATCATCCCAAAAGTCTTGAATCAATTCTAAGTCCAAATTCCATGCTGGGGCAAAATTTTTGTTCATCTGTGAAATCTAGAATACAAGTTATCTGCTTCCAAAGTGCAGTGGTGGTACAGGCACAAGGTAGACATTTCCATTACAAGTGGGAGAAATTGGAGGGAAAGAAGGGATAACAGGTACCAAGCAAGTCAGCAGAACACTTTATATTAGCTCCCAAGGCTTGAAAATAATTACCTGTTCTCTGGGACCATTTAGGCAATGGCCCTGCTCTCCAGACTCTGGGGCTTGGCCATACTGTCTGTATTCTGGTTGGAGGCCCCTTGGCCCTGGGCTTCAACTCTGCCTTCCAGGCCCACTGGGATGGCAACTCTGCTTCCTTGCATTTGGGTGGCCCCATTCTCCTAGTCTGTCTGAGTGGTGACCCTACCCCCTTGACCCCGGCAGGTCCTCTTCTTCTGTCCTGTGGGCATGGAAGCCCTACCCCCTCAGCTTGGGACATCGGATCTGGCCCCATCCCACTGGCATTCCTGAAAGGAAGCCCCACACTGTGGAACCAAGTTGGTGAAGATCTGACTCTTTGAAACCTAGGAGGTCACAGCCCCACCCTTTGAGACCCAGCAGGCCATGGTTCTACCTTTTGAGACCCTAGAGGTTGTGGCCCCACCCTTTGAGACTGAGGCAGCTCTGCTTCCTGTGCTCCTTGTCTCTGCAGCTTCTGCTTCCTGAAGGTGCTCAGCTCTCTCCCTTCTTGGGTTGACAAGCCTAGCTCTACCGACAAGTGCCCAGAGGCACACCACTCCACCAGGAAGCCTCCTGCCTGAAGGCACTCAGCTCTCTTGTTCCATGAGTCGGCTTCTGCGCCATCTCATACCAGTCTCCTGGTTCTGCTGCCATCGGTCTGCTGCTGCTTCTCGCCGTCTGTGCTGTCTCTGGTGTTACAGCTTTCCTTACTTCCTTCTGACTCCTCACTGGAATTGTCTTTGATGTCTATAATTCCACCAACAGTCTCTTCAAGGCAATCTAGGCTTTTACTGTTAGGCACTTTAAAACTCTTCCAGCCTCTACCCATTACTCAATTCCAAAACAGCTTGAACATTGTAGGTATCTGTTAGAGTAGCACCCCATTCCTGGTACCAAATTTCTGTCTTAGTTATCAAGTGTTGCTGTAACAGAAATGCCATAAGTGGATGGCTTCAGCAAACAGAATTTTATTCTTTCATAGTTCAGGGGGCTAGAAGTTTGAATTCAGGGCATCAGCTCCAGGGGAAGACGTTCTCTTTCTGTCGGCTCTGGGGGAAGGTCATTGTTATCAGGCTTCTCCTGGTCTAGGAGCTTCTCAGCTTAGGGATCCAGGGCCCAAAGGATGTGCTCTGCTCCTGGCTCTTCTTGCTTGGTGGTAATGAGGTCCCCCTCTCTTCTGCTCGCTTCTGTCTTATATCTCAAAAGAGATTGACTCAAGATACAACCTAATCCTGTAGATTGTGTCTGCCTCATTAACATAACTGCCTCTAATCCTGCCTCATTAACATCATAGAGAGTAGGATTTACAACGCATAGGAAAATTACATCAGATCACAAAATAGAGGACAACCACACAATACTGGGAATCATGGCCTAGCCAAATTGACAATTTTTGGAGGACACAATTCAATCCATAACACATGCTGACAACAGTATGCCTGAACCCAAAAGATGATAAAATTCAATCTTTAGTAGAGCTTGTCTTCATGAGGAACATGATTGATAGATGGGTATGTGGGTAGGTAGCTGGGTAGGTAGGTGGATGATAGATGATGGATGGGTACGTAGGAGGTAGATGAATGGTAGATGGGTATGCAGGTAGGTAGGTAGATGGATGATTGATGGATGGATAGATATATAGATAGATGATGGATAAATGATAGATGAATAGATGGATGGGTAGATAGATGGATGATGGACGGACGGATGGATGAATAGATAGAGGATGGATAGATAGATGATGGATAGATGGGTGAGAAGGTAGATAGATAGCGGCTGTTGAGTTGGCTCTGACTCATGTTGACCATATGTACAACAAAATGAAACACTACTCAGTCCTGCATCATTCTCATGATAGCTGGCATGTTCGAGTCCATTGTTGAGGCTGTTGGGCCAATCCATCTCACCCAGGGTCTCCCTCACCCTTGCTGGCCCTCTATGTCACCAAACATGATGTCCTCCTCCAGTGATTAATCTCTTCTGATGACGTGTCCAAAGCAAGAGATTCAGACAATGTTCTGTTGTGATCCATAGGGTTTTCATTGGCTATTTTTTGGAAGTAGATCGCCAGGTCTTTCTTCCTAGAAACACTACCAGATTAATCATATTTCTGATAAGTTTATAAAGCCTTATGGTTTACAAGGTTTTTAAATTAATCTTCCCAAGGACATTGTGAAGCAGTTAGGTGTTACCTCTGCTTCACACGGGCGGGAGGAGCCTCAGCTAAATTGGATGACTTGCCTAAGGTCACATAACAAGAAAGGACAGCCTTCCTAAGAGACTCCTGCTATGATGCAGAAGTACATTGTGGCTGCTTTTCCCCCTTAGGTTTTGGTCTCATTTCTTTCTTTAGGAAAATACTTCCAAACATCCATTTTTAAAATCTTCCCGCAGAATGTTAATGTGTATATTTATATTATATGTATGTGAAGCCCTGGTAGCTCAGTGGTTAAGAACTTAGTTGCTAACCAAGAGGTCGGTGGTTCGAATCCACCAGCCGCTCCTTGGAAACCCTATGGGGCAGTTCTACTCTGTCCTGTAGGGTTGCTATGAGTCAAAATTGACTTGACAGCAATCGGTTTTTTGGTTTTAATACGTGTGTAATATATATTTAATATATATAGTGTATACTTATATGTATCTATAACATATAATGTAATATAAAAACCAAAAAACAAACCTGTTGCTGTCGAGCTGATTCTGACTCATAGCGACCCTACAAGACAGATTAGAACTGCCCTGTAGGGTTTTCCAGGCTGTGATCTTTTTTTTAAAATTTTATTTACTTATTTTTATTGTACTTTAGATGAAGATTTACAGAACAGATAGTTTCTCATTAAACAGTTAGTACACATATTGTTTTATGACATTGGTTACCAACCCCACGACATGTCAACACTCTCCCTTCTCAACCTTGGGTTCCCTGTTACCAGCTTTCCTGTCCCGTCCTGCCTTCTAGTCCTTGTCCCTGGGCTGTTGTGCCCCATTAGTCTCGTTTTGTTTTATGGGGCTGTCTAATCTTTGGCTGAAGGGTGAACCTCGGGAGTGAGTTCATTACTGAGCTAAGAGGGTGTCCGGGGGCCATCCTCTCGGGGTTTCTCCAGTCTCTGTCAGACGAGTAAACCTGGTCTCTTTTTATGAGTTAGAATTTTGTTCTCCATTTTTCTCTAGCTCTGCCGGGGATGCTCTGTTGTGATCCCTGTCAGAGCAGTCGGTAGTGGTAGTCGGGCATGATCTAGCTGTACTGGATTCAGTCCGGTGGAGGCCGTGGTAGTTGTGGTCCATTAGTCCTTTGTACTGATCTTTCCCTTGTATCTTGTTTTCTTCATTCTCCCTTGCTCCTGAAGGGGTAAGACCAGTGGAATATCTTAGATGGCTGCTCACAGCCTTTTAAGACCCCAGACACCACTCACCAAAGTAGAATGTAGAACATTTTCTTTATAAACTGTGTTATGCCAGTTGAGCTAGATGTTCCCGAGACCATGGTCCCCACAGCCCCCCAAATTTTACTATATTTTAGGCGAAAGTTTACGGCACAAATTCATTTTTCATTCAACAATTTATACACACTGTTTTGTAACATTAGTTGCAATCCCTGCAGTGTGACAGCACTCTTCCCTTTTCCTCCCTGGGTTCCCTGTGTCCATTCGTCCAGATTTCCTGCCCCTTCCTGCCTTCTCATGTTGCTATTTGATTGAACTAAGAAGTATGTTCCTCATGTGTGTTATTGTTAGTTTTATAGGCCTGTCTAATCTTTGTCTGAAAAGTGGGCTTCGGGAGTGGCTTCAGTTCTGTGTTGAGTTCCGGGTGGTGTCCAGGGGCCATAATCGCGGGGGTTCCTCTAGTCTGTGTCAGACCAGTACGTGTATGTTTGGTCTTTTTTTGTGAATTTGAATTTTATTCTACTTTTTTCTCCTGCTCAGTCTGGAACCCTTTATTATGATCCCTGTCAGAGCAGTCAGTGGTGGTAGCTGGGCACCATCTAGTTCTTTTGGACTCAGGCTGGTGGAGGCTGTGATTCATGAGGTCTGTTGGTCCTCTGGACTAACATTTCTCATGTCTCTTTGGTTTTCTTCATTCTCCTTTGCTCCGGATGGCATGGGACCAATAGATGTATCTTAGATGGCTGCTTGCAAGCTTTTAAAACCCCAGACACTACTCACCAAAGTAGAATGTAGAACATTTTTTTTATGAACTATGTTATGCCACTTGACCTAGATGTCCCCCAAGACCATGGTCCCCTAGGCTGTGATCTTCATGGGAGCAGATCACCAAGTCTTTCTCGAGGAGCTACTGGGTGTATTCGCAGGACTCAACTTCCGTTTAGCAGCTGAGCTCTCAACCATTGTGCCACGAGGGTTCTTTATAATATAGTATGTAGTATATATATTATGTAATAATTATAGAACTGTATACAAATATATATTTATAATACATATTTATTTAGTGTATTGATAGCTTAGTTATATGATGAGATTTCTCTTTTTCTCTTTTATTTAATATTTAGAATTTGGAGAAAAGTGGACCATCAAGGAAACATGACATAGGTAAGTAATGTTTTATTTTTTAAACTTGAATATGTACCCTGGTGTGTTTCCTGTAAATCATGTTTCACCTAAGTGAATTTTTCTTTCTGATTCTGTTGATTATGCAGTAAATATTGCTGTCCAAATATCCACTTGTTGGCCCAGCCCAGAGTTTACAGCTAGCCTCAGGAAGACATGAGGAGAGCCCTTTTCATGCTGGTGTGTTGGAAGCACAGTGACACTTGGGGGAGCTGGAACTCAACGGGACTGCCTTGTTTTTCTGGGTCTTGCAAGTTTTTCCGCCTTGGACAGGGTGCAGTCTTACTACTTTTCTATCGCTCTCTATTAGTGGAAAAGATTTGAGTTTTCCTTCTCTGACAGGTTTCCGCCTTACACAGGTCCCGGCTTTTGCAGGCTTGACTGCATCAGCTAATATGGCGGATCTCATTCCTTCATTATCATGTTTTGACCTTCCAGTGAGAGCAGACCACCATGCTGAGTGGGCACTGTGGGGCTGCAGAGACGAGTAAGACTCAGTCCCTCTTACAAGGGGTCCACCTGAGTGGGAGAAGGGACAAGCCTTGCTCATGCCTCCTCTGCCTGGACCCAGGGTCCCCACTCCTTCCCTAGCAAACATTGCTTGTCCCTCGGAAGGCAAACACTGCTCGTCCCTCAGGAGGCAGACGCTGCTTGTCCCTCAGGAGGCAGACGCTGCTTGTCCCTCAGGAGGCAGACACTCTTGTCCCTCGGGAGGCAGACGCTGCTTGTCCCTCGGGAGGCAGACACTCTTGTCCCTCGGGAGGCAGACGCTGCTTGTCCCTCGGGAGGCAGACATTCCTTGTCCCTCAGAAGGCAGACGCTACTTGTCCCTCAGAAGGCAGACGCTCCTTGTCCCTCAGAAGGCAGACACTGCTTGTCCCTCAGAAGGCAGACGCTACTTGTCCCTCAGAAGGCAGACGCT